CACTGACTCTTCAAGAAGATTCTAGAGAATGATGTTCCAAATTAGGAAAGTGTTGCTCAATAAAGTACTAAGTGAAACTTCTCTTTGCACCCACAAACTGAAAAAAAAATTTGTTACTGAATATTGGTCCATCTAAGGAAGTGTACACTTTTCTTATGCAAAAGAAATCGAATGTTCCCTAAGGAAAGAGAAAAGCAGCCCTAAACTCCCACTGCCACAGTCTGGAGGACTATGGGTGTACCTGCCAATATTGTAATGAACAAAAGGTCTAGAAAGATCAGATGGATCCCTGGTGACAGTACCTCTTCAAATCCTATGGCTCTATATGCATGAGTTTGCCATCATCAGACAAAAAGGAACTCAATAAACTTTTCCAGATGGGCAAAGAGTGTCCAAAACATGTTTGCGTTTAGGAAGGATTTACAGAAAGTTATGAGAATCTTTAATGAGAGCTCAATCTTGACACCTTTAGACATTACCCATTGATCCAAATTATTATATTTATTCTCAAAGCCCTTCCCATTAAGCATGAGTTGCATTTTTCTATACTTTCAAAATCATGTAACTTTAACTTTGAGTGGTTGCATAGGCCAAAGATCCCTTGGTATGCTCCAAAGCTTCTATCCCTTGGCCAGAAAATATTTAGTTGTGTTTAGGGTGCCTTTGAGGCACCCCTTGGTTGGGGTGGCCTGAGCATCTGTCCACAGAAGATAAAAAAGGCAAACCTGTCCTGGAGGAGTCAACCCTTAGACATTCAGAAGGCGCCTAGCACACTGGAATGAGAGGCAGAAAGATGAGAGGATGCTCAGTGAGGAGACCAGGAGGAGAGAACAAAACTTGCCAAGAGAGTGCTTCAGGTGCTAAGTCCATATGCGCTCTGAGCACTGGCCTGTGTGACCCTTTTTATTTAATGTTTGTCCTAGGGTGGTTCATTAAGTCAAGAAGTCTAGTTACACAGTGTTTATAATTTCTTAAATGTTAAAATTATATTTTGGTTAATCAGGTTATCATGGATTTTTTTAAAAAATCATCTCATTTTAAGTGGTATATTATTATTCAATCTGTGGAGATGCTATGCAGTTTTACATCATGTTCAAGCCTGCAAAGTCCACATTTATTGTCAGCATGTGCTTTGGAAGTAAGTGTTACAGGTGGTGTGAGACTACTTAAAAGTGGCACTGGGGAAAAGGCAGAGCTTCCTGAAGACTGTTCCTAGTAAGTGTGGGTTGGTGAGAGGGGAAGGTGGGGGATGATCATTGCAGCATAGGACCCAGGGGTCACCTGTGGGAGCACCCAGTTCTACCTTATCAGTACTCCAGGATCAATTTGTCTCTTGGGATCTAATTCACAATTCCTTAACTCCTAAGAGGTTGAAGATTAAAGGAGAATGACTATTTAGAGTGAGGGCTCTCATCTGTTTCAGCAGCTGAAATGTGCATATTCTCTTCTAGTTCATTCACTCCTAAGTAATAGTGTCCTTGGGATGCTGCATTTGTTGTAGGATCATGGGCCCAGTGAGATGGGGACATGGAGGGCAATGCTTCTCCACTCCAGAGACCAGGAATGGTCACATCTCCCTCCTTCCCTGGAGAGCGCTGGATATATGTGAAGTTTCTCGTTTCTGACCCTCCTTCAAGGCTCTAATTCCAAATCTCACCTGTTTTTTCAGATTTGCTGACACCACTGATGAGGCCCTGGCTTTCTTCATTTTCAGCCAAGACTTTGTACTACTGTACTTTGATTCTAGTCTTTCCAGCTTTGATCTATAAACATCCTGACTTACAAGGCAACTTCCAGTCAATATCACCCAATATGAATGGACAGTATTATCAATAATAGCCACAGTGACATCAATCAGCATTTGCTGAGCATTTACCATGAGTGAGGTGTAGTTAACTCAGTGAATGTTCACAGCAACCCTCTGAAGTAGGTACTAATAATTAGCACGTTTCAGATGAGGGAAGCTGAGACAAGTCACTTGTCCATAACCGTGTAGTAAACGGGGAAGCTAGGATTTGAGCCCGCGTCATTTATACCCTAAAGCCTGGGCTCTTAGTCATTGGGTGGGTGCTGGGTAAGTATCTTTCCACAAGCAACATCACACGTGCCTCCTCTAAGCATCTCATTGTGGAACCCCTACACAGAACCCAGCAAATGATGATGAGTGACCGTGAGCACTTTCTTTGTTGAAATTTACACTCAAAAATTAGTTTGGATTGTGGTTGTTAGGAATCAATCCATGACCTGGGGGAAAATATCTACAGGAAGAGACAGTGAGAAGTCTGAGAACCCATCTATGAAAGTCAAACAGGCCACATTACATTGCTTAAAGTGTAACATATAAAACTCCACATTGTGTGTTGAGCTTAGACAAAATGCTGAAAATCACAGACTCACACATAAGATCCCGCCCACACTGCCACCACCACTCCCTGGTGCCCTCCTACGAGCCACAGAGAGGTCAGCTCCCTTCAGAGAATGCTTGTTACTTCTCATACTGTGGGTTTACCAATGAAAACACACATGAGAATGTTTCTATAATGTTCTATGTAATTAGAATTCAGTGAAGCGGGCCAGCACGGCGGCTCAATAGGCTAATCCTCTGCCTGCGGCGCTGGCACACCAGGTTCTAGTCCCAGTCGGGGCGCCGGATTCTGTCCCAGTTGCTCCTCTTCCAGTCCAGCTCTCTGCTGTGGTCCGGTAGTGTAGTGGAGGATGGCCCAAGTCCTGGGGCCCTGCACCCGCATGGGAGACCAGGAGAAGCACCTGGCTCCTAGCTTCGGATCAGCATGCTGGCCGCAGCGGCCACTATTGGGGTGAACCAACGGAAGAAAGACCATTCTCTCTGTCTCTCTCTCACTGTCTAACTCTGCCTGTCAAAAAAACAAAACATCTCCACGAGTGAGATCCCAGTGGAAAGAACGGGTCATCAAAGAAGGAGGTACCTTTCTCTGAAGGGAGGAAAGAACTTCCACTTTGACCATGGCCTTGTCTAAAAATTATCAGAGTCAGTGAACTCAGGGGCTTCCATAGCCTTGGCAGCTCATGACAAGAGCCTAGGGTGATTACTGATGCCATAAACAAGAGTGCCAATTTGTTAAGTCAACAACAGGCATCACTGTGCACTTATTCCTCATGTAGGATCTTTGTCCTTAGTGTGCTGTACATTGAGATTTAATGCTATAACTAGTACTCAAACAGTATATTTCACTTTGTGTTTCTGTGTGGGAGCAAACTGTTGAAATCTTTACTTAATGTATGCTAAACTGATCTTCTGTATATAAAGAGAAACGAAAATGAATCTTGATGTGAATGGAAGGGGAGAGGGAGTGGGAAAGGGGAGGGTTGTGGGTGGGAGGGAAATTATGGGGGGGGGGAGCCATTGTAATCCATAAGCTGTACTTTGGAAATTTATATTCATTAAATAAAAGTTTAAACAACAACAACAACAACAAAAAGCAAAACAAAACAAAACAAAAAAACAAAAAAGAGAATTCAGTGAAGCAATAAGCCTGTGGTTGTTGTGTGTGAAGGACATATCAAAAATATTTGATGTCCCAAATACCTTTTTTTTTCTTTTTTTAAACTTTTATTTAATGCATATAAATTTCCAAAGTACGACTTATGGATTACAATGGCTTGCCCCCCATACCGTCCCTCCCACCCACAACCCTCCCCTTTCCCACTCCCTCTCCCCTTCCATTCACATCAAGATTCATTTTTGATTATCTTAATATACAGAAGATCAGCTTAGTATACATTAAGTAAGGATTTCAACAGTTTGCTCCCACACAGAAACATAAAGTGAAAAATAATAGATGATTTTTTTAAATGATGATGAAATCAGAGCAGACCTATTGTCATGTTTAATCCCAGTGAGAGTCAAGTTGGGAATTGATAATTTCTTTTTTTTTTTTTTTTTTTTACAGAGGATCAGTTTAGTATGCATTAAGTAAAGATTTCAACAGTTTGCACCCCCATAGAAACACAAAGTGAAATATATTGTTTGAGTACTCGTTATAGCATTAAATCTCAATGTATAGCACATTAAGGATAGAGATCCTACATGAGGAGTAAGTGCACAGTGACTCCTGTTGTTGACTTTACCAATTGACACTCCTGTCTATGGCATCAGTAATCTCCCTATGCTCCAGTCATGAGTTTCCAAGGCTATGAAAGCCCTCTGAGTTCTCCGACTCTTATCTTGTTTAGACAAGGTCATAGTCAAAGTGGAGGTTCTCTCCTCCCTTCAGAGAAAGGTACCTCCTTCTTTGATGACCTGTTCTTTCCACCGGGATCTCACTCGCAGAGATCTTTTGCCAGAGTGTCTTGGCTTTCCATGCCTGAAATACTCTCATGAGCTTTTCAGCCAGCTCCGAATGCCTTTAGGGCTGATTCTGAGGCCAGCGTGCTATTTAGGACATCTGCCATTCTATGAGTCTGCTGAGTATCTCACTTCCCATGTTGGATCACTCTCCCCTTTATTTACTCCATCGGTTAGCGTTAGCAGGTACTAGACTTGTCTATGTGCTCCCTTTGACTCCCAGTCCCTCCACCATGACCAACTGTGAACTGAAACTGATCACCTGGAACAGTGAGATGGCATTGGTACATGTCACCTCGATGGGATTGAATTGGAATCCCCTGGTATGCTTCCAACTCCACCACTTGGGGCAAGTCAGCCTGAGCATGTCCCAAATTATACATCTCTTCCCTCTCCCATTCCCACCACCATGTTCAACAGGGATCACATTTCAGTTAATTTTCAACACTTAAGAATAACTGTGCATCAATTACAGATCTAAGTAGTTCTAAGGTCTGTTTCACTAATCCAAATTTCTCCCTTCTCAGGCATAACTCATTTCTGTTTTTAAAAAAAGGCAGATGTGACTAGAAATTGTGTGAGTTACTGTGCATCAAAAAAATGGGAAAAAAAATCATTATCCCCAAACTTCAAGTACTAGGATTCTCCCCTTTTAGGTACTGCATGAAACGGCTAATAAATGGTCAAGAATTACTTTATTGAGTATCAACAAGGTGCACAGCATTGTACATGGTTCAAAACATCAAAAGCATTTTAGTCACACCCTTTGTAAAGGCTTCCCTCACTTCCACAGGGTTGTGGTTCTTCCTCCTGTGCTCCAGGGTGCATGCTGCTACTATCTTTATCATAGCACTTACCATGAAAGATTACAAGTATCAGTTACACCACCTGATCTCTCCACCAGATTTTGAGCTCTTCAAAGATGGAATCTATGCAATTGCACATCTCTGTAACCCTGATGAATACATGTTTGCTAGCTGAATGAATAATTGGATGAAGAGTGCTTCACTTTGATTATTCTCCCAACTCCCTAATCTGCATTTAGGTAGAAGTGCTGATGTTGACCAGGAAGTCAACATTCAAAAGGCACAACGGAAAGGAGGAGTGTCTAGATGCATGGCTGATTCACAGACTACAAAATTAGCTCCATAACAAGAAAGAGTTGGCTGGCTGCCCCAAGGGTCTGAGAACATAACAGAGACACATAATATCTTCAAGCCAGAATGGTTGTTCATTAACCCAGACTCCCACCATTAAAGCCCAAAGTAACTCCTTGGGAAGAGGCCAGGAGTTCAGCCACTTGCTAAGCCTTCAGGCCCAATATAGCCAACATTATTGGCCCAGAGTAGACAATCTCAAGCACCTTACATTAAGGTTATTTTATTGTTGCTGTTTTATCGTCACTTTCCACATTTAAATACATGCAAGAATAAATAAATAGACACTAAATAACTTGACATGAAAAAGAAGACATTTCCAAATAGTTCTCAAGAAGCAGTTTAGATGTCCTGTTCCTTGCACGGTGCTGAGACTCAAGCTGCCATGGGTGCCCTCTTGGGGCCTTTTAGTGTGAAGCTGCCTACTAGAGAGGAGATAATTTCGATGGGATGCAGTGAGCATGATGTTGTACATGGATGGGATAATCATTTTCAGCACACAAGCCAAATGATTAGTCAGGGCCTGGACGGATATGAAAACCGCGCCATGTCCCAAGGAGGAGGCTGAATACCACACACTCCATGGACCTGACATTCCATATGTGATAGAACATATTCAAACAACCTTGGCCCCTGATCTGCTCATTGCTGGTCATGAAACCAAGGGCAAGCCAATTGCCTCCCTGTGTCTTAGTTTTCTTATCAAATAAAAATTTGGCCAGATGATCTCTCTGGTTACTTCCAAGATTCCGTTTCTTTCAGCAGGATTATTGACCCAACAATTCCAAAGCCGTCTCTCACCCTTCCATCTACCTTCACACTGCTGAAGTGAAAGGAAATCTCACTACAAATTTTTATGCTCAGAAATAGAAGTATTGTTAAATACTCCTCTAAGGTTCTTAGGAAAATCTAGTGCATCTCTCTGTGTCCTGGACTGGTCTGGTGTTCACACTTATAAACTTGAATCATAAATTGATCAGGACAGCAACTTGGTGGCTGCTGTTTTATTCTTGGTGCAATTCAACCATTTTCTGGGAAAAAATGCTACCCTTGATACAATCACATTTCTCATCCACAAATCCCATACAGATGGTTGTCTTGCTGTTCCCTGATTTCTCTTTCTGCACCACGGATTTTTGTATCAGACTTTCTGATGAATCATAGGCTGTGCCCTCAAGATCAGGATTTCACACTTGGTCATTTCTACTCTCACAAGACACTCAGATAAATCCAGATGATTCCATCTTAGCTGTGGAAGACACAGCAAAGCTTGGTTCCTCTTGTTACAATTTTAATCCATGATTTAAAATTACAAGTGCTTGACCGAAAAACTGAGAATGAGCTCTCGGTTTTGACTTGCATTCCAGCCTCAAACATACTGTAAAAAATTTCCTAAGCAATAATTACTCTTTATATATATATATACATATGCATATATATATATACACATATATATATATATCCCAAGATGACCAAAATGATTTTTTATTTTGTGGCTTTTTCCTATAGAGCTATAGCAAAGCAATCATTTATGGACAGAAGTCAGTGTTTTACTGTATTGAGTACTTACTTGATACATTAGAAAGATCTAGTATGTTGTAGAATATGAATTTTCCTAATAGCTTACTTAACATGTAGATCTTTGAGTTCATTCTTATCAGCCAGAGATTTAATATATGTTAAGTTAATCCAAGCTTGGCTAAGGAAACCCTTGAATCTACTAAGAGCAGGGTTCTCACCTTGCGTCCTCTTTACACCTGAGGAGACCATATGACACAATTCAAGGGGCAACAATTTTTGCCCTTACATTCAAACTTTGTTATGCCAATTTTGCGAAAAAATGGTTATCATTACTCAAAAGAAAATGTGGTAGAATTCAACTCTTGAGAAAAACAAAACCTTACAGTTCCTTTGGAACCATGGAAAACTAAGAGGTATACAAGACTACACTGTTCTGTCCACAGAGAAGCATCGTCTGCACTTCCCCAAGGTCAGATGAATTGGGAAGAAAAAAAATGCAATTGCTAAGAAGTTGGCCAAGGATATTTATATCTGTTCGCTTGAAGTCTCAAAGAGTAATGGGGGCCACAAGATTCTCTTTTTCTCAGATACCCTCTGGTTTAAAATTGTCCTTTTTCTAATTCTTCTCTTCTCTGAAATTTTTAATATTTTAAAATAATCAAATTAAAATTAAATTTTAATTTAATTTATGAAAAATGAACACCAGATCATTTAAGCTTATCATCTGTATAAGTGCATAAATGAAGTTATTAGTGGCTTGGAAACTTGCACATGTAACTGGAGGTCCGCAGCAGGTTTCTATGCCTAATCCCACCCCAAGCATTTCTCTGAGGTCTTCTTCCTTTGCAAACCAAGCAGACATCCCCACCAAAAGCTAACACATAATGATTACTGACAGTAAGAGAAACCCATCAAAGAAAAAATATTCCAGCTTTCACTATTTAAAAAAATCAAATTCACTGTGACTGGACACTATGAGTTTTTTGAGTTCTATAACTCTCCAGAATTGTCAAAAGTAACCTTGTAGCCAATTCTCTTGAAGACACTAAAAATGGCCTGGAAAAGGCCACCCATGGTGCCAAAAGCAGTATCAAACAGCAGGGAGACAGTGCCACCAAGGCCCATGGCGATGTCCTTGCACACAACTGGAATTGCACCCATTGTGTACACAGGGAAACTGGCCACATCCACAAGGACCCGGACAGGGATGCCCAGAACACGGCAAACAGCCTTCAGCAGACAACAAAGGATCCGGAGAACAGCCCTGATGATTTTGGCCATGACCTTGAGCACCTTCCAGGGTATGCTTACCAACTCTTCTCCAATGGCCACAAAGTATGAGACGGTGGCTGAGCCCAGGCGGTACAGGCAACTTTCTATGCCATTCATCACCTGCTTGGTAACATACCACAGGAAATAGAAAATGTTCTTCAGGATTGCTACCACCAGGTAATAAATTAACTGGAAAAGCTTGATGAATGGGGTAGCAATGAAGCCCATGAGCTTTCCTAAAAAGCTACTCCTTCCTTCAGATGCCTCTGGAGGCAACAGAGCAGACCTCTTGCTCCTCGTGCTGGAGAGAGGAACAGAGTTCCCTTGAGACTGCACCATTCGCTCTTCATCCTGCACTTGATTTACCATTTCCAGGATTTTCTTCATTTTCTCTGTGTCTTGCTCACTTTCACCACAGTTGTTCTGGAAAAGCTGAGGGTTAAATGGAAGAAGTTTCTCAAGATCTTTCACCATCACGTCTTCTATGATGCCACCATCCTGGGTGTGCTTGACAAAACCCATGGCCCAGCCTCCTCCAGGGACAGCACAACAGGCTGCCAGCCAAACAAACTCAGGGACTGTCACTCTGTCTTTAACTTTGTGGTTGGAGGGCACCGCGCCCGTGATGATAAATAAGTCTTCCCCATTGCCACACTGCGGGGCCAATGCCTGGTCCATCAGGCTGTTGAGATTCATGTACCACCGTTCCTGGAAGGACTGGGTCATGGGAACTGAATTTGTGAGAGTGAATGTGGCCATCTGTCCATCACTGCTCAGGGAGAATGGATAGAGCTGTCCTCTTTGGTAATCAGAGTCAAGGTAATCCGTATTCAAGGCTTGCTTGCCTCCCAGATTTTTCAAAGAGGTGATGGCCTCAGCCTCATTAATCACCTCTTCAAGGTTGCTGTTGGGGTCATCAATCTGAAAGAAACGAACAAGTGTTGAGATGTATCCTTGTTCACAGAAGGGAGGGTGCTAAGACTCATTCTGAGTCGGAATCATTCTGCCAACACTCTTGAGGAATCCCTGTTACTCTAACATTTATAATGCTTGAGTTTAGAGGGACTTGGCTCTCTGGTGCACACATACTTATTTATCCCACAATCCTGAGTTTGAAAGTATCTCCAAATAGACTGTTTCTTATTATGCTCCCTCTGTTTATCCCACCTCTACTCTTCGGTAACACCCTGTCACTCACATACATACCATAAAGTCATTTAAAAAAAAAATCTTGTAGCTTTATCAAATTCCTAGCTCCTTTTTATAATTCCTAGCTCCTTTTCAAATGAAATTCAAAGTACAGATTGAACATCCCCATTAAGAAAGTCTAAGTGCTCAAAAAGTTTTGGACTTTGGAACATTATGGATTTGGGATTTTCAGATTAGAGATGTTCAATCAGGAAAATCTACCCAATTATTCTTGAACCTGAAAAGTTCTGAAATCTCAAGCATTTTCTATAAGGGCTACTGTTCCTGTAACAGTAAAAATGGAAACAAAATAGGAACTGCAATTCAGATTATCAGCCAACAATACTAGCTGAAATTAGATGTATATATTTTTAATGAATGCTTATACATTTGGGGAATATATGAAAAACAACTATCATCATAGTAATTAAATCATGTGTATTTTGGTGTCAGTTATTAGATATCAGGCAACAAAGTTAAAATAGCAACCTGTGTTCGGATTTAAATTACCTCATGGCATTTGTTGTTATTAACAATTTATTTTCTGTCTTTATTAATCTAAATATGAGCTGTATGCCACTTTACACACACACACACACACACACACACACACACATATCTGGATCTGTTTCCTTTTCTTTTTCTTTAAAAGTTCAATAGTATAACACATATTTTCACTTTACAAATCTGAAAAGACAAAAGGAAAGAGCCCAGAATAAACCAAAGACTGTGTGTCTATTTCCCAAACTAGATTGTAAATTCCTTGACACCAGGAACCATGTACATTCCCCATGGGCCCAAAGAGCTGACAGATTAGAATCTGAAGGCCTCTTGTTAATGGTTATGCCCTGAGAGGGTCATCATGGCCACATTTACAACAACAGGCAGCTGAACAAATCCATATTAAACAGCAACAACAATGACAATGACAAAACGATGTGGGAGTAGACTATGTAACTTAGTATTATATCCATTAAAATGCTTAGAATTACAAAGGGCTTGTGATAATGAGGAAATATAGGCCATTATGTTGGAAGTAAAAGGTGGGACATAAAATTAAATGATCACATTTAAAATAAAAAGCCTAAAAACATGCAAGAAAAACTTTGGAGGGAAACACATGAAATGTCAACAGTGGTTGATTTCCTGGCAATGCAAGTGACATGTTCCTCTACTTTCTTGTTTCTTTTATTGTATCGTCCCTACTCATATTAACTGTAAAAATTATTTATAATATGTATTGCTTTCAAAAGTAAATAAAAACTATTTTAAATGAGTTAATTCTTCCTGAGTTCCTAGAATTAGTGCTATTCACTAATCTACTTAATAAATCCCCAGGGGAGTCAAGACCATGGGGATTGCTGTGTGTCTTGTCTAAGGGCAACCTGCCTGGGCATTTCTCCAGCTCTGCAATAGCAAATGCAGGCTCCCTCATGCATGTCCATGTAGCGGCAGTGAGGAAAATCAATGAGAATTTGGTATGAAGGCAGGAATATTTGCTGAAGCCTAATGGAGTATTCTATAGGCTGGCCCTACCTGTCATTCCACCCCTTCCCCCAGACTTAGGAACAATGATCCTAGATGTTCTCTACTCCCACTACATCTTCTTTAGGACAGAGATAAGATGCTCATTCATTTTGCAAAGCTTCTATCTCTGCTTTCTTATAACTGAAAGATATACCCCAAGGAAATATCAGCCTCATTCCTGAATCATGAGATCAAGATATGGCAGAGCCAAGATCCATGGAGTCTTGGGTGTAAGGTCAGGGATGCATGTTTGTCTAAGGCTACTCAGATAAATATGGAGGTATTTTTTAAATTAACAGCTCTGTGCCAGAGCATAGTTCAGCCAACAGGCCACACAGAGGTGAATCAGCGCCTGCAGAGCCAGATAGCAGGCCTGCAACCCAATCAGAGAAGAAGGAATCTTGGACAGGATGGGTAAAAGGGTAAAAGAGAGAGACACAAGAGGAGACAAGGTAAGGATAAAACAGGAAGAAAAGGAGAGAACTGAATGACAGAGTGTTTGTGTGGTATAAAGAAATAAACAGAAAAAATAAACAGAAACCAAATAGGCAGAAACCAAGACTGTGGGTTGTTTCACTCCCAAACTGCAGAGCATAGCCTCCCAGCTGCCACAGTCAGAGGAGGCTGAGCTGAGTGTTCCTGCATTCTCCTGGGCCAACTGGGTTCACAGGACTCCAGATTTTGCCCATGGTCATGCACTTGGAAACCAGGGTGAGCATTTCCTGCCCATACTTCACAAGAAAATGGGGCAGGATGGAACTGAGGAGGCTGGGGTCAGGGATGAATTCCACACTGGGTTCTGTGCCTCCCCTAGCCTAGACCTTCCTGGGCAAAGCAGTAACTAAACTATGTGCTCTGGGTATCATATCTTCCCTCCCCTGCCTCCTTCTTTCTTCTGAACCCCATACCTTGCATCACTTACTCTTAGGAACCCCAAATTAGACCCTATAGTCTGATGATGAGGTAGAAAACTGTATTTGAAATCAAGAGAGAATGCAAGGAAACTATAACTATATAGTGGCGGTGGAACAGAGACTAATATTTTATCTATATTTAAATGTTACAAATATTAATATTATTAAAGAATATATACATATTAAATATTTTCAATAGAGCATTACACAGAAGATATTTTTACCTTATCTTGCAGATGGGGAAACTAAGATTCAGAAAGACAAGGCAACTTTTCTAATCATCCAATAATTGGTAGCCGAACCAAGACTTGAACTCAGTCTTTTTCTCTCTAAAGCGTAGAATCTTTACTACTAATGGACACTGCTGTGACAGTTTTCTCTGAGTAGAAAAAAAGAAATGCGGCCTCATCTGTAGTTGCCTTTATTCTCTGTGCCATGGGGTAGGTGAAACTCCTTAAGGTCATAGGGAGTGAAGGTGACGCCTGAGCCCTTGTATTATTGTCCCCAGACCCGGGGGGGGGGGGGGGAGCGGGGGAGAAGAAAAGAAGGCTGAAGGGTGCATGTACCAGCTGACCCTCAAGACTCCTTTTTGCCTGAATGCTAAGCAGACAGCAGCTGAGCCCCAGCTTCACAGTCTGAAGAGGTGGCAGCAGAGGCAGCTTCCATGTGCAGTCACCCTTAGCAATGGTCAGTGGGCTGGTCCACCCAAGGCCCTGATCCCATCAGCGCCTCACTTGGCTACTCTGTTTTTCTCTACACCAGCAATGGTAGCAGAGAACAGGAGGCATCCAAACAAAAAGCCATGAAATCAGTCCTCTCACTACAACTTCCTTGGCTTCCACTCCATGGGTTGCAGTTAAACACTTAGGAAAGGGATGCTATATAGCCAAAGCGACCTGGATCATCTGTACAGCTTAAATGAATGTGGTCTGTGTTCCTAAGACTCATTCATTTGCTTCTTGTAATGACACACTCTTTTACAAAGATAAACGGTTTGGAAACCCAAGAAAAGTTGAACAAATAGACATAAAGACCCAGGATTTGTGGCATAGGTTGGCATTGCTGGAACTAGAAATGGATTCCAAGTCCTCAGGAGTTTTGGCAGGAAGAGTCTGTGGATGAGACTAAACAGTCAATCATGGTTACCATTAATGAGACACAAACACACTGACCTGTCAGATTTTTCTCCATTTCCCCCACTGGATTCTTCGCCATTTCTCTCTGCATAGCTTCTCTATACCTCTTGGCTTTCTGTAACTCATGATCTTTGTTCCATCATGATTTGGACTTGGACTTGGGCCATCATGGACTCTCTAGCCACCTGTCCTCATTAACCTTCAATTTTACCCTCTTTGTTACCTGATTTCCTACTTCCAGTGCTCATCTTTTCTAATCAGACCATGTCAAGTCAAGCCAAGCTGAAGCTAGGAACCAGAACCTCCATCCGTGCCTCCCAGGTAGGTGGCAGGGACTCAAGCACTTGAGACATCATCTGCTGTCTCTCAGGGTGTGTGTTAGCAGGAAGCTGAATTGGAAGCAACGGTGAGACTTGATCCTAAGTACTAGCAATATGGGATGTTAGAGTCTCAAGCAGTGACTTAATCTACTGTACTATACTATCTACCCTTGAATGATGTTTGTAAGAAGACATATTGAAATTTCACAAACCTTTTCTTCTCTTTGGAGATCCAAGTTAGACATATACCAAAGCTGCTTTCTCTATTCTTTCTGTGTCTTCTTTCTCATGTTTTATATCTCATTATCTCTCTAACAGCCTATTTTTAGATGAGTTCCTCAGATCTAACTTTCAATCTACTGAATATCTTTTTAGCTATGTCTAGTTGTCTAATCTGTTTGCTGATTTTTTATTTCAATGACTTTTTATCCCTTCCCAGAATTTCTATTTCAAATTCTCCTGTTTCTCTTGTAGAATTCACTTTTTTGTTTCAAAAACCTAGATACGCTTATCTTAAGTTTCCTTTAAAATATTTCCATTGTATTTTTGTAGTTTATTTTGAAGTTTATTTGATGTATTTAGTTTACTTTGAAGTCTATGGTTGACTTCAAAGTAGTGGGTATACTTAAATGTTTTGCAATGATTGTTGGTGAGCTCACTTTCCTAAGAGCCCATGGAGTTTTGTCAGGAAAAAACCAGAACAATGGGATTGTTTTTGTGGTTGCCTCTGCCAGAGCCCCACAGAGTTCAGTGCTTCTGGACCAGCTTCTGAGTTATTTCCTCAGTTTCAGGGTTTCCACATGGAGAAAGCAGTACAAATTAGGGCCACACAAAAA